GAGAACGGTTTATAGCGACAGGAAATACAGTGACAAAGGAAGTGGGAGTTCCAGGTACATCAAAGTCCACCGTATGCAAAGAGGGGAATGTAAGATCTGAAGTAAGAGCTGAACAGAGCACATGCGAAGAGACCAGGAGATCAACCGAGAAGCAGCAGGTTGCAAAGGCAGAGGTGAGCAACTGGGGTTCACTTGTCATAGGATACAGGTGTGAGTACTAGAGGGAAATTTAGGAAGTTAAAAACTTGGAAGTCAACCATATACACGGTAGTGTCAGTGAACGGGGCCAGACTATAGCTTCAAATGACCTCAATATCAAAGTATTGAGTTGCAACAAGACTACTATAAACTTCCTCCCATCTACAAAAGAAAAGCTGGAAATTCCTGCTGAATGGAAAGTTAAAGCTACCTGCCTGTTGGGACCTGCTTATCTAGTCTTCAAATCATTTTTACTGACTGCAAACTCCTTCTCTGGCACTCACGCTGAAAACTCCCGCGGTGCCCCGGTGACTCGCACATGTAGGTGAGATTTCACCACAGCTCAGACATGTCACAAGCATACCCTACTTAGGACTTAGGAGACATCTACATTGCTTTTAACCCAGAGCTTGCCCTTTATCTTGTTTTTTGATTTTTTTTTTTTAGTTTGCATTTCCATAGAGATCTTCCTGGAATGGCTTTTACAAACATAGTTTTAAAGTTCTAACCACATAGAGAGCTGCATTCTCATAACCTCCTCAATATCCTTAATATCTACCATTAAAATGTTTTCATGTTAGTAAGCAGTCTTTAGCGTTCCATATTTTAACAGACTACTTCAACAAGCAGATTCACCACATCTGGCTTAAACACTGCTCTATTGTTGGAAATGCAGATTGTTTCCAATTTTGCACTATTATAAATAAATGCACCAAACTGGCTCCTTGCTAGACCTCCATATTTCTGAAATGACATTATTTTCCCTGTAGGATTGAAATCTCCTCCTCATGCTCTAGTATTTGCTCTTTGTTGTAACTATCACATGAGTTAATTTTTCATTAGTGACAGTATATATGAATAATACTGATTTTATATTTATTTTGTACATCCCACCTAGCTTTACTGAACTCATTAATTCTAATAAGTTTTTGGCTTGTTCCCTTAGGTTTTCCAGATAATCATATAATCTAAAATTAACGATAATTTTATTTTCAAATTCAAACTAAAATTTATGTACAAATTTTAGTTCATGTTTTATTGTACTGGTCAAAGCTTTGCAGTATACAAAAATAGTTGACAGAGACAGTCTAGCCTAGCTTGTAAGATGTTTTGAATAATATTTCTCATCTTATTAAAGCAGAGTTTCTACTTTTAGTTCTGGATTTTCTTTAATTTCTTTGTAATATGAATTAGGATAATTACATCGCTTTATTCAATTGGTTCATGTACTAATATTAAACTGTTTTTGAATTCTTGTGACAAACTGCATTTTAAAAATCTGCTAAGATGAATTTATAGTCTATCTATCTATATTAACAAACAAGGTTAGTCTGTATCTTCCTGTGGCTACTGAGCACCTGAAATGTTGCCGACCTGAACTGCTACAAGCTATAAGTGTAAAATATACATAGGGTTTCAAACACTTGTTTGAAAACAAGAATGCAAAATATTTTAACAATATTTGATACTGAATACATGTTGCAATATTGGTGTTTTGAGTATACTCACTTAAAGCTATTATTACAATTAATTTCATCTGTTTCTTTTTACTTTCTTAAATATGGCTACTAGAAAGATGGGATCCACCTATGTGGCTTGCATTTTGTGTGTACTGTTTCCTCTGTGCAAAGCATCTCTGTTGAGTACCTTTGTTCATATCAAGGCTGGATTTATCTCAGCATCAACTGAGTTATATGGGATCTCATACATTCTGTAACATCTACTATCAAATAGAGTGACATGAGCCTTGACAGCGTAAAAGGATTCACCCAGATTCAAGTCCCCCCAAGCACTAAGTTACAAGTCTGCTCTGATATTCTTTAATGAAGGCTAAATCCTTAGATGCCAGATACTATCAGAAATGGATAATCTATATTAAATCAAACAACTATGGACAGCATTTCAGACTTAGTGTAAAGGAGTCACAAAAGCCCCATACTTCCTGACTGATTTTTACTGGAAATGTAAGAAGCAGCCTTTTGTTTTGAAGGCTACATGTTAAGATTCTCCTTTTTACACCAAAGTATGGCTAACACACCCTGTGCATATGCTTAGTAGAAAATGTTTGTGCTGCTCTTCTGTTCATTAGAAAAACATACCCTACCCTTTGGGTCTGAGACCAAAATTTAACTTATCAGATGCCAGATGACAGACTAGCCTTTTCAGTAGTAAGTTTGTTTAGAGAGGATTAAAGAAGGTGTGCACGGATGATGCAGAGGAGAGGCATAAGCTGCACAACCCCTTGGGACACCTGAGCATCTAAACAGGTTAGCATGGGAGTGGAGGGACAGTCCAGGATCCATGGATGGGGATCCACAAAATCTCCCTGCAAGCACAGACATGAATGTATTCCTTCAGCTTACATTCCCAAAGCTATTACACCCAGAGTTTCTACTTTTTATTTTATAATGTGAAGTTGGTAACTACCCGAGCTACCTAGGTTATACTCCTGGCTCCACACATACTAATTGAGTGACCTTACACATGTTACTTAATCATTCAGGGTCTCAATTTCTTGATCTGTTAAATAGGAAAAATGAAAAAGATCTATTTCGGAATTTGAGAATAACACAGGGTATGAAAAGTTACCAGTAAAGTGCCTAACACAGAGCTAAGTAATCAACAGAAGCTTTCCAGTAATAAATGTATCCTCCAATGCCATGAACTACGATCAAACGCTGACTGCAAGATCACTAATTAGCAAAGTTTCATCTACTAAGTAACCTATCATCTTGGGCCCAGGCATCATCAATTAAGAGACAGCAAAGAGTACATTCATTAACACAAAAACTGGGTCATCTTGACATTGCTGAATCACTCAGACAATCCCCATCTGAAGAAATCCAGCTTGAACCCAATAACTCACACAAAGTAATTATCGCAGAGATAGTCCTTGGGGACAGTCTTCCAAGAGATGCACAGGAAGTTCAATCCCTCCCCTGGTGTTTTCATCTATTACAGGTTATACAACTGTCTGTGGGTCCCTCCCTGCCACAGCTCAGCCCAATTCTAGATGATCAAGGTCATCCATGACAGAATCGAGGTCAGAGGCAGCCCCACACCTGCCTATTCAGGCACCTATTCAACACCTGCTCCCTGCTCCTCCTAGCCTTACCTGAAGATCCACGGTTTTTATCTGTTCCTAAAATACCCAACTGATTCTCACTTCACAATCTCTACCTCTCTATATTCTAATGTTCCTTGAAAAGTAAAAACCCAAAATGCTGATCATCCTTACCCACCTGTGAAACCTTTGTAGCTCTTGCAGGGAATTAGGAAATGGAGAGGAACTAAGAGAAAAACCACCAGAAAAATCTCAAAATAATGGCATGCTCACTTCAAAGGATATGCAAGAAGTTGTAAGAGCTTCTCAGTGGGCAGGGGAGAGAAAAGCTAGAACAGGTGAGGGAGGTAGAAAGGAAAGCAGACGAGCCAATGAATGCAAGTAAGGACGAAGAAAGATGGCATGGAGTTTATTCAAGCAGGAGCCTCTGCCTGCCTCTAGTTTCTCCTCTTCCATAGATCATCATGTCCAGCTATGCCCTTGACCTCACACCACTCCTTGTCAGGATCTTTCTCAAGGATGTGAAAATGGTGGAATTTGCATCCCTACCAAGAGGGGAGATAGGTGGCAAGATGGGAAAGCAAGAATTCCATCTCTACCAGCCAGGTTCACATCAGGAGGGAATGTTTTTCTGGCAAATCTGCACTGCCATGGAAATCTGAGTTCAGTTCTCCAGAGAACTCTGATATATATGGTGGCAAGGGACCACAAGACATAGAAGGAGCTAAGATCTACATAGGTTTTGGGGGGCTGAACCAGAAAACTATCCATAACATGTAAATAAAGTTCTAACTAAGAGTCAAAGAAATTAAGATGGAATGAAGAAACACTGTCCGCTCATCCACACAAACTTAGCTAACCATATACAGTACATATATATGACAAGTCCTGGACACTCCAAGGAAGAAGAAATGTCCAAGAAATACAGCCTTTAGGAACAGCTCCACTAACAAAACAAGATATCCGCTAAGATACAATGTGTTTCTCCAAAAGACTAGGAAAGCTTTCTGTGTTTAGGAGAGCTAAAAATTTTCCCCTACTTCTAGAAAATATAAGAATGTCACCATATTTGTAATCTAGTTTGTTTCACAGTTGTTGCATTAACATAAATAAGAAGTCTAAGACCAGCATTCAATTTTCCAAACCTATACTTGTTCAATTTTCTTTCCTTTGCAAAACATATACCAGGCAATTTTTTCCCTTCACATTATTTTTCTCTAGTAAAAATCAGTTTCTTTCTAGTATTTTTACTATAAACAATGGGTTCACCAGTGTCACTAAGCCATAAAGAAGGCAATTATTTGATATGCTGTGGGACAAAAAATGCTTTCATCTTTTTTTTTTTTTAAATTAATAAATTTTATTTTTATATTCCCCATACAATTGCAATCCCCCCATTCTGACCCCAATCCCTCCCCTCCCGCCCCCCACCCCCAAAAAGTGTCTCTGGTTCATAGTTTTTGTTGATTTTGATTTTCACTTTCTTATAGTTATTCATTTTCCTGGTCCCTTATTTAAGTTTTCTAGATCCCTGCTATGAGTGAGACCATCCGGTATTTCTTTCATCTTTTTCTCATGAGTCATTTGACAAAAAAAAAATGGTAGTACCCATGGGTATATTCACACCCAACAGCAGAAACACAGGACAAGACCAAGAAGGAAAAGTCAGTTACCGACATCTAGAGTTAGGGGCTAGCTCCTAGGGCTGCCTTCTCGTCGGTTCTTAAGTCCTCATTACCTTTGTCTGCTCACTGTCTGGGTCTTCAAGCCAAGCGTAAGGGTCGCAAATTTTATGCCCATGATAATCCTGTACCTGCAAGAAAAAAAAAAGACAGAAAGTGCCATTAGATAATTACTGTCTAACCCAAATAAATTAGTATTTTCTGAATGTGATGGAGAAACAGGAAAGGGTCACACAAAAAAATACCCCATTTGGCTCACTGGCAACATGTCTGCCCAAATTATCACATGAACCAAAGCTGGCAGGTTCTCAAAGGTGTCAAGCCACCCTTCCTGAAAAGAATGTTTAAGCTGGAGAGACAAGAAAGATGAAAGAAAGTCAGAATAGGAAAGCAATCTGTACAACACAAAACAAAGGCCTGCTGCTGTGCTAAAGAAACTTGAAAATGTATTGTCAGGGGCAAAGCAGAGAATCACACAAAGCGCTAGAGCTCAGAGGGCATGTTTGTGAAGGAACCACTTGACAGGGTTATTTTCTTGCTCTTGCTAAGCTTACCCATGAGTAGAAAATCTGCCTGCAATATACAAGAGGATCTGTTTTGCACTTAAGTTTAAACTGTCAACAAGCAAGTTGTTAATAGGTAGTAACATGATTCCAATTGTTATCAGTTGAAAAAGTAGACTTAAATACAATGAAAGCTCATTTCTGAAACTGAAGCCTGCCTTCTTCCCTTTGGTGCACTGTCATGAAATAGTTTCTTTCAGTTTCTAAAAGGCAGTACGAAGGCATCACCCACTCACACTATCCCGAAATTCGCAGGAATAAAACTGCTGGGTGAGCAGGGCCTGGCTGAGGAGAATTGTTCTGGAGCTCCCAAGGGGGCTGATCAGCAGAACCACCTGGGAATTTCTGAGTAGCATAAATGCCTGGGCCTGGGCCTGGGCTCTGAGACTGAGTCTAAAAGAGCAACTGGAAGCCACTGCTCCCCAGGTGATTATGCCTGAAGAAATTATCCGGAAATTATCCGATAAAGATCATTATTACAAGACCTCTCCATTTCCTACTATTACAGAGGAGCAAAAATCTGCCACTCAAAATGTCTTTTTGGCAAAAAGTTGATAGCATGGGAAGGATCTAAAAGCTGGGTGGCAGCTGCCTTTGAAAAAGACATTACTATGTAAACTGCTCTCTGTAAGCATGTCTCCCTCACTGTACTGGGAAAACCTAATCTTCTATCTCCTTTCTATGGAAAAGGCAGAAATACTTCTTCCGTGGTAGCCTCCGCAACTGACCCCACCTTCTTGCCCCCCAACACCTGTGTCCTAGCTGAGCTATTAAGATGGCATCTGAGGCTATGTGGCAAGTTACTCAGCTTTGCTGGGTCTCTCCCATGCAACAGGAGGTATACATGTTCTATATTCAATTTCTTTTTTGGCTTTTTTCTCATTAGTTACCATGATGCTTGATTATTTGCTAGTCTAGAGGAACCAAGAGGGGTATGAGATGATCTCCCAAGATGATCAAGATTAATCTAATTAATTGAAACCACATCTTTCCAATCAAGTTTCTGAACAACACTAATATTCTGGTTAAGGCTTCTCATACAGGGCTGTTGGGAGGACTGCATCACCAGTAAACTTTTACTGTCTCCTTCTTGCTCTCTACCAGGTGGTAAGGGCCGTTCCCCAAGGAAAGCAAACACTCTCCTGGAAAAGGAAAACCTGAATGCTGTTTTTATTGCTGGTCAAAGTTCCAGCGTGGCTATTGTCCAATAGAGAAGATTTCCCGGTGCCTAAAATTATAAGGCTTTCCACAAAGGGTCTGCATCTGTCCTCACGGTGTCCCAGGGGAAATGACACCAGCAGAAATGCATGCCTGGAAGAACAGCAGCTCAGGTGGAACACTAACCAACAAGCGCAGGGATATAAAACTAGCCTGAAATCTCTCCTAAGGAGGCAACACAAAATAACCAATGTTCAATCTTTTCCTAAAGCTTCTCTAAAGTTTAGCTGATTGTCCCAATGAAGGAAAGCTTTTATCTTTTCTTCTCACTCACAAGTCTTTTACATCTTGCACACCTTTAGGGCGTTATAAAATATACCTAAAATAAGCAATTTTCCCCTGACAATAACAACAAAAAATCCAGTTGTAAAGGATCTTCCAATCCAATAGTTTTAGGAGCAATACAGGCACAAGATGGCAACAAGCCCAGGGCTACGCTTAGCTGAGAACCAGGCTGGAACTGAAGACAATCTGCCATCAGAGACTGCCCAAATATACCCTGGAGGAGACAGACCAGACACTTTAAAACATTCCCTGATTATAAAGTTACTAAATCTCAGACATGCCCAGAGACTTAACTTTTTATAAGGAAATGGAAACAATTCACTGGATGTGTTTAATGAAGTGAAGGTGTTGCCAAGTACTACACCTAAAGCAATGAAGACCCATTGAATATTGTTAAGCTTGATGTTTTAAAGAAACAGACAAGAGAGTCAATGAAATTCCTATTTTACCTTTCATGAATGCAATTCAGAGAGGTTAGTAAGGGGAAAGAAAACAGGTTTACTACTGACTCAGAAACCACCGTAGATAGAGTGCCATAGACTTCAGACAACTCAGCGGATCCTCTCTAGGTTAGTACTAACTCATTTTCCAGATGCGCAAACTGAAGTTGAAGAGAACAACTGACAAAAGTCTGATGGTTAATAATCAGAAGGGCTATGACCCACTTTGTGCCAACCACAAGATCTTTGGACTTCACCTCTTGGTTAAGCTGGGCCAGGTTTAAATTGGCAGGTGCAGAGCTGACACTGACTCAGCGCGTCCTCCATGTGCTACCTCCCGAAGGTGTTTACACCAAGGAAACATCCCCATCTTCCTAGAACCAACAGTGACCACCTGAACCACACGGAGATCAGTAACTGACCATTTTTTTTATATATATAGAGGCATGTTTTATTTATTTGTTTGTTTGTTTATACATGCACTGGGTACAGTCAGAAGCGCGGGAGGGTGAGAGAATTCACCAGAGCCAGAGCGGGGAGCAGAGCAGGCAGAAGGACCGAAGTACACTGCTGAGGGGAGCAGCGAGCGGCAGGAGAGGTCTGCGCGCCATGTGGGACCCTCCTCCGGTGGCCGGGGAACAGCCGGGGATTGAACCGGCGCTGCAGAGGCTGCGGGCAGCTTTGCAACCCAGCGCTCAACCACTGCGCCACCGGGGAGGCCCGTAACTGACCATTTTTAAGCAGGATAAGACACTGATTCAAGATAATCTCACAATCTGAGGAGACAAGAACCCTCCCAACATTTTTTCTTTCACGAAAGCCTCCTAGCCACATCTTCTGAACTCAACTTAATAGTACCTGACTTTCCCATCTGATTTAAACCTGCAAACCATTCTTCATCTCTCCCAAGAAGCTTTAAAAATAGAGCTCTGATAAGGTACTGTTACTATTCAATATTTTACTTGTACTGTTCAACAGCTCGCTGCTGCCCTAAAGTGCACACTCATACAAACAGCAGGGAGGGCCCACCAAACCTGGCCCTGCTTTTTCCCTCTCCCTTTTTTGATTTTCCAGTGCTCCCCACTCCCCAACCTGCCCCCCCTCATCAACCTATGAATGCTCTGATCACATTGGCCTTCCTGACATCTTGCAAACAAATGCAATTCCACAACCATCCAGGTCTGCCTAACTGTGACTTTATTTTAGTCACACAGCCAGGAATGTCCTTTCAACCTTATCCAACTGGCCAACTTCCAAGCTCAATTCACATACTATCTCCTCCTGATGGTAATCCTATATTCTTCCCTGTGTTCTCCCCTCACCCTACATACTCTTCCAACCCCTGTAGCAGGACTAAATTTCCTAACAGCAGCACTCTTGGGGGATGGTCAAGCAATTACACAGGGAGTGTCAGGGTTTCCAAACTTCTGCTCAATAAGCCAGAAATCCACCAAAATGGGTTTCATGCTCCCACCCCACAGTTCAGAGACTGTCCAGTATATTGCTGAAAGATGTTCAAGCAAGAGAGACAGAGAGCTACAGCAATCTCCAGCACCTGTGTAGAGAAAGAAGTCCATTCTAGAAATCAAGGCTACAATTAGAGCAAATGCAAAAAGCAAGACCACGACTTCTTTCTTAATCAAGGCTCTGGCCCAGGAAAAAGCCTATGTAGACCGTCAGAGCTGTGATAATACACTGTGAGAGCCACAGAGCAGGGTCTAGGATGGACCAGAGCTACAGCCCTTGGCCAAGAGGTTTACGGTTATTACAGTTCTTTGGTGAGAAGGAATTGGAGCGTTAAAATCTACAGTATACCCTTTCAAATTAATTGTTTACAATTGATATCTTCATAAAATCCTCACTTAACCCTTTCAGGAACTATTATTAAGCAAAGATAAATGAACTACAGGATTTTGGTACCAGAGTAGGGAAAAAGGGAAGAAAAAATTTTAAATTGCACATAGCAAACCACATCATGGGTAGTTCCTTATATTTTCATCCTGAAAGCTCAAATATCTTCAAAAACTATTTACATCTTTTACTATGAAAGTCTGGGACTCTGCAGAGCTATGAATGAACGATTGTATTGTTACCACAGAAGCAAGTAGGCCCTGTGGTTAGCCAAGCCAGGCCTAACATTTCATACTGGGGGGCGTGGAGGCGAGTTGGGTATGGTGGGAGAAGCTTAACAGGTAAGAGATCTGGCAGAGGACATCCAGCCAGCGACACAACCAGAACTAGTACTCAGGTCTTCTTTGGTAGTCTGTCTCCTTTCCATTCTGGCAGGATCACTTTGTTCAAAGGAAACAATCCTTTGAACCAAAGGAATAGAGCTTCTTAGGCTGTTAAGAGCAAATTTAATAAGCTGGCAGCTGAACAGATTGAGAAAACATGGTTCCCAGATGGCCACTGGTCAGAGACCATGAATGCATCAGTGCATTTGGAAGTCTTACTTTAAAACAGTACATCCTATAAAACCTCACTATCCTTTACCCAAAAGTGAGGTGTGCTTTCAAGTACACACTTTCTGGCATACTCTGGGTCAAAGCAAGAAAAAAAAAAAAAACACTAGAGCTTCATTATACAAAAATACTTTGATTCTATTTTCAGCAAGCTGAGCAATTT